TCGGGATAGGGCTCTGAAGGACCGACTTTTATAAGTGAAGGAAGGACCTTAGGTGTGTTTACCATGGAAAGAACTGGTTGTCTCACTGTTGTATTAGCTCAGAATGGGGCTTTATGATTACCATCCCCTGTTTCCTATCTCAGTCTGTCCCTAAGAAGGGCAGCTTCCTTCGTTTGTTTGTCAATTTCTATGGCTGTAAAATGATGGACTTCATTGTAACTTTCATATATACACATGATCTTATCCACAACCCTGAAGGGTATCTCAGGGTTAAAATATTTCTAAATAGGTTACATAGGTTCTGTGTCTCAGTATCTTGACTAGCATATAAGCAAAGCTTAAAATTCCTTTGTGACCCTCAAATTGACCTTATAAGGTATAGAACCATGCTGGGGTAGGTGTGCATATATCTTCCTGTGTATAAGGACATTTGGGTGTCCATAATGTAGAAGTTATTCATAAAACAGTAAACTGTTCATGTACATGATTCTAACATATGAGCTAAGCACATGAACTGTGAAGCATGTGGCTGTGCTGTATGCAGCCTGAGCCCCACAGCACAAAAGGCATTCAGTTATAGCAAACAGTTTTAAAAAATCGGTTTGCCTAGATTTTCCATGATATTACTCATTTGTTTTGTCATCTGCTAGCACATGTTAGCAGAAAAGTGAGAACAGGTGCCATAAGTTTAAGAAAAAATGTGTTGGAAATTGTTTTAATCTTTAAGTTGCACACATTCTAACAATTAGCATAATCTAATTTAAGCTACAAAACACTTCAGTCCAATTGGATAGGAAACAGTTGTTTCATAGGGTAACTTTTTTTTTCTTTTTTGTTTTTTTCGAGACAGGGTTTCTCTGTGTAGCCCTGGCTGTCCTGGAACTCACTCTGTAGACCAGGCTAGCCTCGAACTCTCAGACTCAGAGATCCGCCTGCCTCTGCCTCCCAAGTGCTGGGATTAAAGGCGTGCGCCACCACTGCCCGGCTACATAGGGTAACTTTCTAGAGCACCAAAGGAGGGTTGAAATATTCATTTAAACCTATAATATGCTATCAGAAATTAAAGGTTCTTGGTAGCATCTGTCATACCAGTTTTGTATTTTTATTTGGTCTCCAGCCTAGCTCAGGTTATCAAATACTTATCGGATGTTGGGGAGGTGAAAGAACCTGTTTAAAGATGTGACTCTTTGTCCTGAAGGAGCTCACCCTCCAAGAAAGTCACACTAATGTAGGACACATGAGTCACTCATTACAAGAAGCAGAAAGCTGCAATGGTACCAAACGCTTTGGAGCCCACAGCAGCGGGAGATCGGGTCTGATTCAAAATGGGGTCAGTCTGGGACAGCTTCTAAAGCTGTAACCTGAAGGGCCAGCAGAGGTGGGGTAGGGGAAAGCCATTCTGTGAACTATTCAAAAGGATGCCGGGAAGAAACTCAGGAAGTGGAGTTTATCTGGAATACCCAAGAGGATAGACTGCTGATGGCACGTGGCAGGGTACATGGGAATGTTGGGAAGAGCCACAAGGTACAGTCTTGATTTTACTAAACAACTTGAGTTTTGACTTGACTCTGTAAGTACTGTATTAGTTACTGCATACTGCCTCGGTAGACACTTTTCCTGTCACTGTGGCAAAAGAGCTGCAAGAGCAACTTAAAGAAAGGCTTTCTTGGGACCTGGAGAGATGGCTCAGTGGTTAAGAGCACTGACTGCTCTTCCAGAGGTCCTGAGTTCAATTCCCAGCAACGACATGGTGGCTCACAACCATCTGTAATGGGATCTGATGCCACCTAAAGGTGGCACAATTCCCCAGGCTGGGGTGTTGAACTGTATAGAAGGGGAAGTGAGCTGAACGTAGGCATCCACCTTTCTCTGCTTCTTGACCGAGGATACGGTAGTCTTCAAGGTTCTTCTGCTGTGATCCTCACTGTGATGGGCTGGAACCTCAAACTGTATGCTAAAATAAACCCTTTCTCCCTTGAGTTGTTCTGGTCAGGTGTTTCATCACAGCGACAGGAAAACTGAATAATAGCAAATTATGCTTCTGGAAAACCAACTGCCCCTCTTAATTCTCAAATCATGCCTTTAACAATAAACAAGCATAAGCTGCTTCAGGAAAATTTTTTTTCAAGACTAAATCATCTGAGTCAGTACCTCAGATTTTTCTCCTTATATATGCCTAAATGTCTCATAGCCAAGAAAGAAGAACCACTCAGGTTTGCATTTTAGAAACAGGGCCAGGAAATGTTTCTATATTATAAAAGGAAACAGATTGACCTGAAGGAAGTCAGTTAGAAAATACTTCAGCCAGGTCCAAAGGCAAAGGCCCCATAATCTTTGCCTCTCCGAAGACAGGAACATCCAAGTTCAAGGCCAGCCTGAGTAACTTTGTGAGATCTTGTCTCAAAATAAGATGTTGGGGGAGTGTGTTTGTTTTTTTTCTAGGTTCAGTTTTTTCCTAGGTTTGATTCTAGGAGAAAAGGGGAGAAGAGAAAGGGAGGGCAGGCTTCAGGTTAGGGTTGGATACAGTTACATAGCTTGATCCAGCTCGGCCCCCTTCGGGCTGTGCAACTTGAGGCTTATCACTAACCCAACTTGTGCCCCCATTCTTTCCCTTGTAAAATGAATGTGATGCTGCCACCCACTTTCCGGCTCTTTTGAGGATTAAATCATTTGACATGTGTCAAGTGTTCCAAATAGTGTCTGGCATGCAGCAAGAGCTTGACAAATATCGCTTGTTAAGTTGTTAGACAGGGAAAGCAAAACATCTGCAACATTAGTCAGAATGTTCCCCATATAAACACCTGAAACAAGGTGTTCCTTTGGTTCCTGGTTTCATCCTGTCCCCATGGAGAGCCATGGTGGCCTGGAGAGAGCAGCTCGCATCATGACAGCTAGGAAGCAGAGAGAGAATGGTTGTGGAAACAAGCTTTCTCCTTTTCCCCTTTATATTCCATCTGGGCTGCAGCACGTTAATGGTGCCACAGGCACCCAGAGTGGATCTTCCTCCTCTTCCTCTTAACCCTTCCTAGAATTGCCTTCATAGAAACACCCAGAAGTGTGCATTACTAAGCTCCTAGAGATCTTTCAGTCCAACCACATTGATAATCAAGAGGACTAGCACATCTGCCTGTGCTACATTACAGCTTACAAATCCTTTTCACAAACCTACCAGCCGTGTGGCCAGTTCACGGGCACTGGTTATCCCAGCTAGAGGGTTGCTAACAGTCACCCCCAAAACAGAGAGAAGACAATTCCCATCTTATTACACTAATGGCTTCTAAGAAAGGCACGATAGGATAACTTTTCTCTGCTTTACAGTACATAGGCCCTCACTAGGGAAGACGAGAAAGCCTGGGTCTCCTAAGACTGAACACCCGCTTTCAAGGTGGCTTCTCAAACTGTGGTGGCCTCAGGGTAGTCAACAATCTTCTCACAGGGTCTCTACAGCAGAAGTTGTTGTCTTTTATCACGCAACCTCAGGAGTTCAGAACAGACTCCTCCTAAGTGGTAACGGTTCAAGCCCACCAGGTTCAGGGGCAGAACATATTAGCCACAGCCTTCCCTGGTGGCAGTTCCAGGAACTCAGCAGCCTTGGTTTTGAATTGACACACTTTACTAGTCCTTGATTCCACCTGAGTGATGACAACTACAGTGGCAGTTAAATAGCTTGCGGGGAAGGTAGTAATCAGGGAGGGAGACTGACTTCTAACCTCGTTCTCCTCTGGTCTTTCTTTTTCAGTTAGGCTCTTCAGTCTCCTTCAGCTAACCTATTCTTATCAATGTGTCAACGTTCAAAGAGAAAAATGTAACTGGGTTACATTTTAGACACATGTTAGAAAGCTTCCCTAAAAAGAAACATAGAAGGTTTTCAGAAGCAGGAAGCGGGTGGAGGTGAGGAAGGCTGGAGAGAGTGTAGTTAGCAGGTAGAGTGGTGTGCTAGATAGAAGGGGTGGCTTCTAATGGTTCAGATCACAGCACAGTACCCGACTTGACATGATTAGCCGCATATTTCAAAACAGCTAGTACACACAGACCTGTGTAATTTCACGGACATGATGAGGGTTGAGATGGTAGACATGCCAATACCTTCATCTGTCCATTACTTCTAGTGTAAACATTTTCAAACGTTACACTGTACCCTATATGTCCAACCTATGTGAGAACTAACATTATAAAATATCATCAAGTGCCACATAATAATGTTATGACCAACAATAGACTATGTAGAGTAGTCTTATAAAATTGTCATCTAGTGATGACATACCATTATGTCATTAGTGATGACATAACCATTAGTTTGCATAAGTGCTATCTTAGTTAAGGTTTCTATTGCTATGATGAAACACTGTGACCAAATGCAACTTAGGGAGGGAAGGGTTTATTTGACTTATGTATCACATTCTGTTGTGGGAAGCCAGGCAGGAATTCAAATGGGGCAAGAATCTGGAAGCAGGAACTGATGTAGAGGCCGTGGAAGAGTGCTGCTTACTGGCTTGCTTCTCATGGCTTGCTAAGTCTGTTTCCTTTTATAGAAACCAGGACTACCAGCCTAGGGACAGCACTGCCCACAATGGGCTGGACCCTCCCCCGTCAATTATTAATAAAGAAAATGTCCTACAGGCTTGCTTGTGTACACCCCCTATTGTATACAGACATTTTCTCAATTAAGACTCCCTCCTCTCTGATGACTGTAACTTGTATCAAGTTGACAGAAAACTAGCCAGTGTATGTGCACTCTGTGATATTCACACAATGAAACCGCCTAACAGTTCAGGTCTGAGAATCTGCCTCTATCACTGAGCAACACACATCTGTATTTCTTCTGAGTATGGGCTCCCGTTGGTAAGAGCTTACATACAAATTTCCTCTTTTCAGATGGTTCTAGGGTGAGTTCAGTCCTGAGTCTGGTCAAACAGAAACTCTGTATCTGTTTTCTCACAAACAAAAATCATCTCTGAAAGTGATCCAGGTGCTCGACTCTGGCTTCCTTTGTTCTCCAGGAAAATCTCACCTGGCCATTGTCCAGAGAGTCAACAACGAGGGCGAAGGAGACCCTTTCTACGAGGTGATGGGCATCGTCACACTGGAGGACATCATAGAGGAGATCATCAAGTCGGAGATCCTCGATGAAACTGACCTCTACAGTAAGTCTGTGTCCTTCCTGCTCCAGGGAGACTCCGGGCATAAACAATGGGATCGGGTGTTAAGGCAAGTCTGTGCACTGGCGTGTCATCCGCAGCCACCTGGTGCTAGCATGGTGGGATACCCTGGTCCACATTATCCTGAGTCACTGGGGACATGCTGGTGAGGTGTTATCAGAAGGGAACTTTCCAGAACACAGTTAAAACTGAGGAAAAGTAGCTTAGCTTTCAAAAAGGTAAAAAAAAAAAAAAAGGCTAAGGGAATATACAGTGTGCCTAAGGGAGGCCCAGGGGGTCTCTGCTCTTGTTTCTGCACCCTGAATTGCTCCCAGGGTGGCTCTTTGTCTATTTAGAGGCAGAGCCCAGGTTCCCTCAGAACTCTTCGCACCCAGCCACCAATGAGCAGTGAACACCGTCATGGCACTGCCTTGTGCTCAAGCCAAAAGGTTAACCACCCCTGCTGGATGCTGTTCTCGGCCCTTGTGCCTTTTAGCAGCACCCCTGCCTAGTTTCCCATTCTCTTTCCTGCCCCCTGGATCAGGTCCCTGTTCCTGCTTCTGCCTCTGATCTCTTCCTCTCCCTGCACCCCAAAGGAACAATATGGCCTCCTCTTTGTAGTGAGTGACAGCTTTAGGCCCATGGGCCTTATCAACGCTTTGCTTGCCAGCAATACAAGGGCTTCCTGTGTCTACGGAATTGGAATGTTATCTAAATCCATGAGAGTCTCTGGCCAGGAAATGTCTCCTCCCCAGAGTTTCATCCCCTAGTACAGCCTCCTCATTCCCTTCCCGGGGATAACTCATTTGACATGAGCAGCCTGGGCTTGCCAGAGCAATCTTACAGAAACTGCTTCCTCATACCAAAAGGCTGTGATACCATATGGCAGGGAGGATACGGGTGGGCCAAGAAGCGATCAAATCTAAACCATGAGCCAGCCCTTACCGAAAACAAGCGGAGTGCCACTGCACCTCCCTTTAGGGACCTGAGAATGTGGTACTGAGCGTTTTCTAACAAGGTTGAAGCTCAGAAAGGACCTCTCCCGTTCCAGACTCCCTTCTCTGCCCACTACCCCTGCTCTAGAACTCCCAGGATCCTTAAATGCAAATTGACAAAGACTACACTGAAATGTTAGTAGTTGGTGGAAAGCTAAATTAGTATTCTCTTCCTGGGGTAGTGATTTAAATAACCCTAATGCTTCAAGTACCCACTATTAAAATCAAAGTAATAAAGGGAGGGATTATAGGGATGTCTCTACTTAGGAAATGTTAATGACATGCTGGCAGACATACAAACAAATATGTCATATAAATCAGAGGCCACTCACTAGTGACAGCAGAGAAAACAGGTTCTAAATCTCTCCTTGATGCTCACTTTCTGGATGAGCCTCTTCCTGGAGGAGAAGGCCCGAGGTTCCTACACAGATTCCTAAGGGCCACGAAAGGCGGAAGAAGTCAGAATACTGTTTCTTCTTATGTGACTGTGACTTGTTATACACTCTGGATACCTGGGTCAGAGTCTTCCAACCTTCTAAAACAAAGCATAAGTAGGGCTGAAGTGGGAGCCAGGCACCTGCAAAGGACCAGAGGCAAAGGCAAGCCCACTACAGCTTTTGTAGATGGGAGACAATCCAAAGGCCTGAAATAAGCCAGTTCCAAAAGAAGAGGGTTGGGCAGAAAGAAGCTGGAAGCTGGGGCCCTGGTTTCCTGCTGTGAGGACACGTCCCTTTAGTCTCTATTGTGTCCGGTCCACTTGTACCACAAGCCCTGCGGCTTTCCAGGCCAAGTTTGAAGAGAATAGAGACACATGGCTTTCCTCTCCCCTCAGAGCAGGTGAGGTGGGTTAGCACTTCCTTTTTTTTTTTTAAACACTCTGGGAAAGCAACAGAGAAGTGGTCAAAATAAATACTTCCCCCTTTAAAATAATTGTGTATATATATATATATAATATAAATGTGAATCTACACACGTGTATACATAAGTAGACTTTTCCCTTTTTTTAAAGATTTATTTTATATGTGTGAGTACATTGTCACTGTCTTTAGCCACACCAGAAGACAGCAGCATCAGATCCTAATACAGATGGTTGTGAGCCACCATGTGGTTGCTGGGAATTGGACTTAGGTCCTCTGGAAGGGCAGTCAGTGCTCTTAACCACTGAGCCATCTCTCCAGCCCACTAGACTTTTCCTTTTAAAAAGCAAGTAAAAAACTAAAAAAACTAAATCAGAGATTTAGTTTTTATGTCTCAGTACATAGATACATGCCCAGTGTACAGGCTCTGAAGTTCCAGGCTCTGCCGAGTCCTCATCTGAAGAGTCTGCTTTTAGAAAATTCTGTATGCATGCTTACTCCTTTTCTTTTTGTTTTCCTTGTATTTCCCATGATCCTCTCTCCAGAGGGTCCTGAGGGAAGCATTAGAATTGTGAGTGGGAAGAGTGTGATATGGCTTAGCTACCACTCCCTAGTGTGGCTTAAACCCACCGGAAAGAGACTAGGTAAGCCCTGCTCTAGGGAATGGAAGAAGACAGAGGGAGAAACCCCAACCCCCTTAATGCACAGAAAGCCAACAGCTTTTGTTTATATGATATTGTATAAACACTGTCAAGTACAGTTGCCTATTAGAGTCTTGCAATAACTACACAGGTAGAAAAGTTATTAAATGTCTTGTATGGATTAAAACAATCAAAAACCCTAATGCATGGAGAGTTTGCACAGCAACTCTTAGGTAAGGGAACCACCCTTAGAACTCGGTGGGGGAACCTCCCCCCCCATCACCCCCTCCCACCAGCTTCCCCAACCCCTTCATCTACCACCTAAGCACAAACAACACCATCTGCTTCCTGCAGGCTCCTACTGGGAGGGAGTTGGCCGAGCCTCCTACAGTTGACACTGCAGAAATGTGTGATCCCAAAGTCTGTGTAAGCGTCTAAAGATCAACAATGATTCTGACTGTCATATTTCCCCTGTGGCCCTATAGCTGACAATCGGAAAAAGCAGAGGGTCCCACACCGGGAGAGGAGGCGGCATGATTTCTCTCTGTTCAAGCTTTCAGACTCGGAGATCAGAGTTAAGATCTCACCACAGCTGCTGCTGGCCACACACCGCTTCATGGCCACAGGTAGGACCTGTCCTGCCCACCCCCAACCGCAACACTTCTAGAAGAATCTAGCATGGTACCTGGCACCACAGACTTAATACCCTTCATCCCCATTCCGGTGTGCCACTCCCACTTAGAACCAGAGTTTGAGGAAGAAGGTTGCCTCTGTGGGGTCATGTGGTAACTCCAGGCTCCCTGCTGTATTGGTGGAGAGGAAGTGAGTACTCTTTACCAGAAAAGGGGTAAGGACACCACTGCAGAACTTCCATTTCCTCTGCTCACTTTCTAATGGCAGCCTGAAGCCAACCTCCTCCATCCTCCTGGGATTGGGGTACCCCAGAGCTTTGTCTCAGGGGGGAAACCATTATCCTCCTAAGCAACAAGCCCCGGTGTTTGGGTCCCCACCAGGAGTCTGGGGTGGGAATCCTGGTCCCCTTAGAAAGAAAGAAAGGCATAGGAGCTGAGCTCCTTTCTTACGAAGAGGCTAGAATTTGCCTCTGAACTCTCTGACGTCATTCAGTCCTAATTAACATGCTCGGCTAGAATGCTCAGTCCAGGACTAAGTGCCACTCTTAGCTAATCCAATATATACTTATTGAGGATATAGTGAGTGCAAGCCAGAGCCATCCAGGTGCTAAAAGGTGGGTAACCGTAAAGCAGACCCTCCTTATAGTAGAGTTTTCAACATGTAATCTCGTCTGAATGGATTTGTTTTTAAATCATGGATCAATTACCCAAAGCAAAGCAGCTTCATCTGCTTAGTATTATACTGTGAGTATCAATATATAATACCTATTAATAGTTAAGTATGATAAATGATATTTTACATTATTGACAACTTATTATTTAAGTCATTACTTCTCTATTAACTTGGGATTTCATTTCAGCAAGCAGGTGAACGTTATCCAGATAAGCCAGACTCGATTCTCTGTGCGTTGTTCTACTATAAAATTAAACACTTTGTTGTTGTGTCCATGGTCCAACTCTAAATAAGATCAAGGAGAAAAGTCATTATAAAAAAAAAAAAAGAAAAAGAAAAACTGATATTTCCCAAATGCTGATCTGTTTCTCCCAAGATTTCAATGAAGCAATAGTCATTCCCAGAAGGCACAGAGAAGGCCCCAGGATGCTCACTGGGGATTAAAATTCCTCAATCTGAGGGATTTGCAGAACCCCCAGCCTACTTAAATTGAAACCCCAGATGCTGCACTCGCCTTCTGCCAGCTTTTGCAGCTGGAATGGGGGAGGTGCAGAAGTGCAGATGTCCACCACCACCCCTTGCTGCCTTCCAGAAGTGGAGCCCTTTAAGTCTCTGTACCTTTCGGAGAAGATCCTGCTCCGGCTTCTGAAACATCCTAACGTGATCCAGGAGCTTAAGTTTGACGAGAGGAACAAGAAAGCCCCAGAACACTACCTCTATCAGCGCAGCCGCCCCGTGGACTATTTTGTGCTGCTTTTACAGGTGGGTGTCAAGGTCAGGGGACTTCCAAGAGCAAGAGGAGACCACCTGCAGGGTGAAGGGGAATTCCTCTGGCTTTTCTTCCCTCATTTCAGGGTACCTAGAGAACAAGGCCAATGGGGCAGGCATCCTTGCATTACCCACAGGAAAGCATGTAAGAGTGGTGTCCCGGGAGCTGTAGCTTCTATGGTTTTTCATCTGAGCACTCAAGCATGTTTGGCGAGTAGTGAGAAGTCTGTATGCTCAGTAAAGACATTCTGCTTCTGAACTGAAAAGGCCTGTAGAATCCTGATGTCTCAGGGTGTCTGCTTGAGTATCCCCACACTGCCTCCTGATGATTCTTCTTAAACCCTCTCTTCTGCTGATCTGACTCTCAGCATCTCTGACTTCCACACTGGTCCTTGCTCTGCCTCCTGGACCACATAGGATACATTTATTCTCTGTGGTTCCCTGAAACATCTCCCTCTGCAGAGGGCCAGGAAGAAAGACAATGACTGAATGAAAAAAGGTATCAATTGCCTTCCCTGGGTACCTGGACAGGTCTGTCTTAAGTATATATCACAGCTGGGCATGTTGGCACATGCCTGTTATCCCAGCACTCAAGAAGCAAAGGCTGGAGGATAGCTGTGAGTTTTAGAATAGTCTGATCTACATACTGGGTTGGGGGCAGGCAGGGCTACTTGGCAAGACTCTGTCTCAAAATAAAATTAATTAATTACTTAATTAAAAGTGTCAGGCATAGTTCCACTGGAGCACAGCTTACCCTGTCCTGGCCTCCACCACGAGTTCCATCACTGGCTCCATGTCTCTTCCCAGCAGAGTTTTATAGGCCCTAGAAACAGTGATGGCTTAAGATCTGAGTCAAGACCACATTGAGTTAGAACTGGCCTCTGTCCGTTACAGTCCTCACAGTCTGTCCTTTTTATGCCATGATTTGTCTCATACATATCATTCCAAGTAACCTTAATAAAATGATTGTTCTACCCCCATAAATGAGATCATTTTCTTCACCGTTAGAAATGGATCATGTTACACTGTGTATATAATGTAAGGACACGTGCTATCCTTCATCTTATTCTTAACAAAAATTTTTCAAATAAAAAGCTAAAGGGAATAAAATAGAAAGAAGGTAAACTCCAGAATTGGAAAGATTAGCATTTAAAATGTCATTATTTCTATTTTCTAGCAAACCTTGGCTAAGCCAGTGAACCTCTTTGAGCCTGAATCAATTCATCCATCGCCTGGACATAAAAATGTTATATATGCCAGGCAGCAGTGTTTATTTTAAACATTTTATTATAGAAAATTAGCCAAAGAGTAGAAAAAAAGAAAAAAATGTAACTAGCTTCAACAACTGTTGACATTTTGTCAAGAATTCATAATCCTCCCATTTGCAAATATTTATTTTGAAAAATGCAAAGGTGCCAGGCATGGTGGTGCACACCTTTATTCCCAGCACTTGGGAGGCAGAGGCAGGTGGATCTCTGAGTTCAAGGCCAGCCTGGTCTACAGAGCAAGTTCTATGACAGTCAGGGCTACACAGAGAAACCCTGCAGGGCTGACTAAAAATCCACAAGGTGCACATAACAGTATCAGCTGCATAGATGTAGCTATACATACTCATGGTAGTTATTACTATCATTGACAGTGAATATTAGTTGTCACTGTCACTGATGGTGAATTCAACAAGAGCAGATTCTCAGCCAGACCCAGAAATGGTCTCATCTCGAAGACTGTCAGGAAAGCTGTATACTAAGCTCAGCTTGGCTGGTGCGTTAGGCCTGTGTTATCCAAAGGCAGCTACAGTGTATCAGGAAAGCTTGGTTATTCATGACCAGGTGCTGCTTTGGGATTGAGAAGGCAGTGAATTCACTGCAAGGGGCTTCTGAAGTGGGAGCTTGTGTTTCTGTAAAGTAAATCTAGGCAGAATTAACACTGCCCTGTGATAATGTGAGTCCATTTGTCAATGCCTACAAAAGTCCTTGGGGTATGAGCCGATGGACCTGGAAGTGCCCATCCCAACCTTAGTAAGCTCCTTGCACTCCTTCTCTCTCCAGGGGAAAGTGGAAGTAGAGGTCGGTAAGGAAGGCCTTCGCTTTGAGAACGGAGCCTTTACCTACTATGGTGTCCCAGCCATCATGACCAGCGCTTGCTCAGGTATTCCAGTTCTCAAGCCGGAGTTTATCAGGGAGGCAGTGGGGTCACCAAGAAAATCTAAGCTCAAGTCATGACTCTTGTTTTGACTCCTGTTAAAGACCTTCAAAATAAGCTGTTTCACATCCTTGGCTCTTGTTTCCTTCTCTGCAAAGAGGGGATAAAAATAACTTTTCTTCAGATTTTGTTTGGCTTTAAGAATAAGCGGAAGAAAACTGAATTGGGAGTGGAAAAGGTGATCGTGTAGAGAGTGTTGGGGGTGGAGAACGTGGTTTTCAGTAAGAAAAGACACATTGTTTCACTTTTACCCCTCTTCCTTACCCTCCTGTTTGATTGCCCGATTTCTGCAGGGTTAATTGGTGCTGGGGTGGAGTAGAAGGGAGATTTCCATAAGCTGATATGTTTTCTGAATTACTTCTGAAACCCACTGCATCCTTCTGTCCTTAGATAATGATGTGCGGAAGGTTGGAAGTCTGGCTGGATCCTCTGTCTTCCGTATGTATCCCTCAAGCCCCTTCCTCATGTCTTCCCCTCATAGTCCTGCCTCAGCCCACTTTGGGAGCCGGAACCAAGCTATTTGAACACGGGCTGGGTTAACTCGAATGCTGGCAGCTTCTTTGTAATGCTATGCTTGGAACACTGCCTCCCACCAGGTACCCACGGAGCATGGAGGCTTAGCTTTTGTGTGTCTAGAACACGTACTGTGGTGTCGTGTCTCTGTTCACGCACAAATGATGAACAGAAGTGTGGCTTGGATTGGGGCACCATGAGTTGTCACCTGCCAGGGAATGTAGGCAGTTGACCCGTATGCTCTGGTGGTGGTTCAGTCTTTCCTTCTCTGTGATGGTAATTCACTCACCCTTGGTCTTTATCTGAAGTGCCATAATTTTTTTTGTCTGTGATGGTTGCCCTCAGGAAAAGGTGACTGTGACACTTGGTGTTGTAAATCAAGGCTGGTGCCATCTGCTGCTTAGCCATTGCTCCTTCCTTGCCTACAATCTCTGCCAGCTGGCCATGCATGCTGCTTGGGGATGTGTGGGGGTGCAGCCTGTCACAGCGCTGGTGGCTGGCTTCATCTGCCCTTCTGTGCTCCACCTTCTTGCTAGTTTCTGTGCAGAGCTTGTGTGTTTGTGTGTGTAGAAAGCATGGCTTCACTTGTGATCTACATGTAATCTAGAAAGAATTTTCTCTAGAATTCCTTTAGATTCATTGGTTTAAATTTTGCAGTAGCCACTTTAGTGTCAAATAGGGTATTTCCTTTCACCATAAAAGAGATTTTACATAGTGTTTTATATTTGGATTTAGCAGAAGGCTTTGAAGCATCACATGCCAAGAACAGCAAGGTATAGATGTCACTTCAGAATGAGAAAAAAAAAGGGACTGGGTTTATAAAGCAGTGGTCAAGTAGTTGTCTAGCAAGGGCAAGGCCCTGAGTTCAAATCCTAGTCCCTCAAAACTAGATAATAAATAAATAAGTTTATTAATTAAGATTTTAATAAGAAAAAGTGAAGAAATGATTTGTTACAAATCACCTAGCCAGTTGATGACTTAACTAGATGGGGCATCTCCTGTGTCGTGACTAGTTCATAAAGCACAATGAATACAGATTTTAGATTCATCATGGTCCAGAATTCAATCTCTGTATGGAAATGATAGAATAATTTACCATGTCATTTTACTGTCTAGCCCACCAGCTGGCTGAAATGAAGTCTTAAGTGTCTGTTCTGCCCATGATGATATAGAACTTGAGCTGAAGCAGATTTGCTTTTAAAAAAAATGAAAAAAAACTGTAATATAATATGGTATTTATGTCAGCCAATGACTGCTGAGTAAGATTGATAAAAGAAGCATCAATATTCAGTATAGAGAATTGAAAAGGTGAGAGACAAGTTCTAGGAAGAGGTAACATGTAACCCCTTTATTCTCAGAAGGAGGCACCTTGAATCACACTAGATCCTGCTCCTAGGACTGTAAGATGCTACCTAGAAGCTCTGACTCTGTTCCAGCTCTTCAAAAAGAGCTTTGAAAACAAACAAACAAACAAACAAAAAACAGAAAACAAAGAGTTCTGTAAATCTTATCTTCCCCTTCCCTCCCCAATTTGTAGGCCTTTGCTGCTGAGTCTGATGACTGAGTTTGTTACCCTGGAGCCCACATTGGAAAAGATACCATTCCTCACCCACATGCTATGCCACACCCACCCACAGACACCCAAATAAGTAAACTAAAAGCAAATCCAATCAAGTAAGAAGATATCTGACTTCCCCAGATCCTAGTTCTATCAAAAATCCCTGAGTTTTATCAGTGAGAAGAGTAAACTTGCAACCGCAGTCTTTTTTTCTTCATATTTTATTAATGTTTTAAGATAACATAAAATGATGGATTTTACCAGGGCATCTTCATATACATGAATCAGTATACTTTGTATTTAACTAACTAAAGGGAAGCACTAACTTCTCTTTGCTTTCCCATGCTTCTGAGCCTTTGCACATACATGTTCAGAAAAGACAAAGAACATTGCCCAGTAGGGGGGAAGAGGTTGTCCATCCTCCATCAAATTCTTCCCCCTGAGTGAACTGTGAGCTAAATGCAAAGTCCACCCCCACCTCAGTGTTGTTCTCTGAGCTGGTGCTGATGTTGCGGTCTAGGAGCCCCTGGTTTGACATTTTACCAGCCAGGAACGTCAGCATGTGGTTGGGAGGTGGAGCTTGAGCCTAAACCACACCACAGGACAGTCAACCCTTGCAAGGTCTTGACCTAGTAGGTTGATCACCTGTGACTTGTGTCTCAGTGTTAAACTGAGGTTACAGAGAATTCTCCCAGGTGTTCCTGAGTGTGGCCAAGGAAGCATAATCCATACTCTATTCTCTGCTCCTTTTTGAGACAGGGTCTTACTGTGTAGCCCAACTGGCCTAGAATTTGCTATGTAGACCAGAACTCACAAAAATCTGCCTGCCTCTGTCTGCGTGCCATGGTGCCCGGCTCACACTCTATTCTTTATCTTGATTTTGATTGCCGAGAAATCCTGGAGCCCACGATGAGGGACCCTGGCCTTGTAGAGGAGCCTCATATGAGCTTAGGTACCACAGGAGCACACAGAGGTATGCAGGGGGAGGGGAGAACGAGCCCTCCACTTGCTTAGCAGAGTAGACATTTAATTTAGGAAGAACTGATTCTCCTAGAGACTGGGGTTTCTTGCTCCAGTGTGTCTGCAAACAGAGGCCAGTTCAAATACTCATTAACATCCTATGGCAGGATGATTACCAGGTAGGTATAAAACCCCCTCCCCTCTCCTGCTTGGATAAGTAATTTCAGATCAAATCTGTGCTGTAGGAGATAAAGACCCAGAAGCTGCCTATTTCATGTACACAGATTGTTTGTGCGATTGTTCATCCTATAGATCGTTTGCATTTGGGTCCTGGGAAGGGATTCTGAGAATGAACAGATAAGACAGACAGAGTTCTGTGTAGACCAGTGCATCGGGATTAACAGGAGGGAAGGACAGAAGTCCTGTGCAATCTACTTCATTGAGCCATGAGGGATGGCCAGCACCATTTTTGTCTCTGGGAACAGAGAAAAGAGAAGAAAGAGGTGCTTCGGAACACTTGTGATCTCTAGAAATCACCTGATTCATAGAGTCGACTCACAATTGAGCCACTGAATCCTGCCCTGGTTTTGCCTAAGGTCTCTTTTTGGCCAAACAGTAGCACCTGGGAGGCAGGATCCAGCCTCCCAGCCTCCTAGCAGATGCCCTCACAGGAGCATCCTGGCCCTTGAATGTCTCCCGGAGAGCTCTCCTGTCGTTGGACAGGACATGAGGCCACTGGGAGAGCAGAGGCCAGGGCACAGTGCTGGGCTCTAGCACACTTGCTAGCTTAGGTAGGCCCCTCAGAGAGAAGGCTGCTTATGTGCTATCTCCAAGGGCACTGGCTGTGCTAGTCACTGGCATCTGTGAGTCCCACTGAGGTGATTGCATATCCTGTCAGGAGACCTTCAGTGGAGTTCATTTTATTTTGTCTCTCTGGAAAGTGACTCCATAAACATAGAATTCCTGTGCTTTCCAAAGCAAGGTTTATTTTTGCCAAGAAATGTGATATTGTGAAGAACCAGGAACAGCCGGTCTCACCCACTTTGCTTTGTCTCTCTTCTTTTGTGTTTATCTTCCCTTTGCCACTCACATGCCCTTGGCCCCCGACTCCTTAGTGCCTGTCTCTGTGTCTCGTACCTTCGCCTTCAGCAGAGGGGACTCTCTGGCAGGCTCCCCAGGTAAACATGCATGAGTATCTTGGGTCTCTGTAGATCCAGTCGGGTTAGCAGGAGGCATTTGGTCCCCTTTCATTGTCCTGCATGAGAACTGGTCTCTACCCGCAGGCGCATGGATGACTAAGACATAAAGCATCACACAAATAACACTCATTTGCATAGCATCAGTTAGGAATTTTCCTGCCAGGAAATATTTATATATATTCTCTATGTATCTGTGTATATGTGTGGAATCACGGTTGAGGTGAGAAGTGATGTAAGTTCTCCCACATAATTTGATGAGTGGAGGGATATAAAGCTCAGCTGAAGAGATGGAGGAAATGATGGAACACTGTCCTACCTTCCTAGCGCCTCTTTTTCTTCAAACTTTGCTTCCCTGTAGTCTACTAACCCATTCCCCTCTTCTTAGTAATCTGCTGAGTGATAGTTGCATTTCTGCACACACAGAGGTAATTTGTAAAAGTGCCCAAATAGCTTTTCATTAGGTGTAACTCCTCATGTTAATGATATAAAACTTGATGGTTTTCTTCTTAAATCTAGTGAAACCTATTAGGGCACTCCGTAACCCAATGACTGCATTGGGTACAGTAAATCTGAATAATTAAATAGCTGTTTATGTTGGTTCTGTCTTTAGAAGTTGATCTCTTAGTACCATGGAGTGAAGACCAAAGCAGGAATGTATTAAATACATTTTCCTGCAGTTAAAAAGTCATTCTCTCCCCCCCCCCGCTCTCTCTCTCTCCCCTTCTCTCTCTCCCTTCTTCCCTCTCCATCTCTCCCTTCCTCCCTCTCTCCCTCCCTCCACCTTCTTCCTCTTTCTCCATGTGTTTCCACTGGCCTCTTCCCTTCTCTCTGTCCTTCTCTGTCCCCTTTCTTTCTCTGCCTCTACTCCCTTCCTCAGATCCCCTTCCCAGATCCCAAATAAACTTCCTTTTATACTAGAAAAAAAAAGCCCATTCCCTGTGGTTGCTCCATCTATGTTTTCCTCCCCAGACCCACCGTATCCTCAGTGACCCCAAACCCTGTTATGTCTGGTCAGTTGACCTTCTACATTGGAAAGACCGTGTCCTGAGACCTCAGACCTCATATTCATAATCTCAAACACAGTTCTTTTAACTTGTCTCCCAAATCACATTTTCCCATCAAAACCCATCTGGTTTCCATGTTTATCTGTTCAAGACAACTTAACCACCTTCTCAAATTTCACCAAAGCTTTCTGTCTCCATGGATGA